AATCGTTAGATCAACATAATTGATCTAACAATGATATTGATTGGTTTGGTAGTAATATAGTAGTAACACAAATTTTTTGATTAGGATAAAATGCGACTAGCTTATGCCGTTATTGATTTCAAATATAATTGTACCTTCTTCATTAGGTTGGGTATTAATAAGCCCATTAGATGTAGTAGGGGTGACAGCAAGCCCAATTCAAAAGTTTGTTTTGCACAGGAAAACATATTGCGTGTATAAAATGATATTACTCAACAGTTTTTTCAAAATATTAAAAGGAAATTATTTAAAAATTCAGTATTCAAAATGAGTTTGTTTTGTACAGGTAAGCATATTGCGTGTATAAAATGATATTTACCGTGTCACATTGCGTAACGCTCCGTGAACAGCGTTTCTCAAATGAAAAAAATTAAAGAATTAACTTAATTCAAAATCTTAAGTTATTAAGTGAGGTTATATTAATGATTCTACACTGTTAAGTGAGTTTATATTAATAATTTTATACTTCTCTAATACGTCCCTCCACACGAGAGTTCACTAAATTTGAATAGTGGATAATGCACATGTCTACCTATTTGTATTAAGAAATTTCATAAAATTTAATTAATTATTAATTAAATAAGGATGTGAGATTTGAACCCATGATAATAAGGCTATGATATTATATAAGAAATTAATTTAACACAAAAGTTTAAAACGAGACTTGTATTTCTCTAAAAAAAATTACATACAATATAGATTCAGTGACCAACCAATAAAATGTCCTAATTCTTGTTTTGCAAGTTGACATGTGGAAATAATAATAATAATAATAATAATAATAATAATAATGTAATGGACAAAGCATAAAAGCTCGCATTTTTATTTTTTTTTGTATGTTTGTGTTGAAAGATAGACTCTAAATTATGACTTGTCAGATGGTTATCTGGGCTGAAACTAACCTGTCTAGTCAAAAAACATACACGCTCCAACATTATGTATTATATGGGTACCATTTGATCTGAACATAAAAGAGAATTTATCTGAACTAATATTTTAAAGGAAAACATATTTACCCTTTTAAAGAATAATCATTTTTATTGACCAATAACTTTGCCACCTCATCAAATGTCTTTGCCAACTCATCAGCCATCAAGTGCCAACTCATCTAGATCATCCAACATACACATGTCAAAAGCTACAACTAATACTAGTTCATAATAGTTTATTATTCTGTTTCAATGAATCTTGATTAGTTGATTAGCTTTCTGGTATGACTCTATTGGATCTGATAGTTTATATTTGCATCTTTTCTTGTAAAGATCAGAATATGAGAATACAATATATTTTCCATTCCTTAATGCTGCTTTTCTCTCTTTTCATTTGTTTTTTGATGGTATCAGAGCTTCGTTAATGGAGCTCTGGTATTCATTCTCTAAAAAAGTTCTTTCAATCACAATTGATTCTCTCGATCATAGCCATGGCAGATCAAGCTCCGGCTTCGGTTCCGACTTTGGTTCCAAATCAAAACTCTTTACCAGAGTTCCTCACGAATCTAAGCCATCCTTTATTTCTTCATCCGAGTGAAAGTCCATCAAGTGTGCTAGTTTCATCGGTTCTCATGGTGCAAACTACCATATGTGGTCAAGAGCAATGAAAATGGCTCTTATGTCAAAGAATAAACTCAAGATTGTTGATTGTTCAATGACAATTCCTCATGAAGCATATCCTTCTTTTGTTGTGTGGAAGAGATGCAATAATATGGTGTTAGGTTGGATACATCGAGCTATAAGCGAATCCATTGCTAAGTCCATACTTTGGATTGATAGAGCAATTGACACTTGGAAAGATCTCAAGGATCGCTTCTTTCAAGATGACATATTTCGTATCTCGAATCTACAAGAAGACATCTACAAACTTCATCAAGGAGAAATGAGCGTAGCAGACTACTTTACCGAATTGAAGATCCTTTGGGATGAACTTGAAACTTTAAAGCCTCTGCCATAATGCACTTGCAATGCTCTTAACCAGATGTGCAGATATATAGATAAGGATCATGTTATCATATTCTTAAAATGTTTGAATAAGCAGTTCAATAATGTCAGATCGCAAATAATGTTGATAGATCCTCTTCTAGAAGTCAATAAGGTATTCCTACTTATATTACAAGAAGAAAGGCAAATTAATGGTGGTTCCTTAGTTGTTAATGATGCTTTGAGTGAATCCAAAGCTTTTGCACATTCTTCAGATAACAAAAGCACACCATTTGGTAGAGGAAAGTGGAGACAAAACAATGGTAGAGGAGGAGGAAGCAAGGATTTTACAAACTACAAGAAAACCAATCATACAATTAATACGTGCTACTTCAAGCACGAATTCCTTCCTGGATACAGATCAAGAAACCAAGCTTCTTCTGCTGCGATGTGATTGGAGCTGAAATAAACTTTGAAGTCTCCAAAGTTCATGAAAAGAATTTTCCATTTTCTACAGAAGAACAACAACGCTTGCGTGATTTTCTTTAATCAACCAAAGATAACAATGTTCCTCACATAACAAATTTGGTTCAAGCCTTTAATGCAGAGGTAACTCAACCACAAGGTAAAATTGACTTGCATTGGATCATGGACTCAGGTGCCACAGACCATATATGTTTTAATAAAACTCTATTTAATCCTTATACAAAATCTTGCCAATTTCCATTTCATTTCCTAATGGTCATATATCACTTCTGAATATTCTGGTACAATTCGAATCTCACATCACCTTCTTCTGCAAAACTTATTGTTTGTTTCTGAATTTAGAATAAACTTTATATCCATAAACAAGCTTTTGAAAACAAATCGTGAACCACGTGATAAGACCCTTTGGGCGAATTAGATCCTCCCCCTGAGTTTCTGTTAGTGTGATCATCGCACCGTACACGGTAGAAAACGAAGAACGTGGAAGCCCTAGGAGAACACCATCACACTGTTTTTTTCTTTCTTCATATATATATATATATATATATATATATATAAGCTTTTAAAAATAAATCTTTCTCAATATTATTTTTTATGGGGTAGGATATTGTGACAACCAATTAGTGTTACTACCAATCAATTTCACCGTTAGATCGATTATGTCGATCCAACGGTTATATTTATTTTCATCTTTGTATGGTTATGATTCTCCATATTTAATGCTTTCACATTAAATATGGGGAATCATAGTCATAAAAAAGTGAAAATAAATATAAAGTATTAAATATGGGAAATCATAACCATACAAAGATGGAAATAAATATAACCGTTGGATCAATATAATCGTCTAACGGTGAAATTGATTGGTAGTAACACTAATTAGTTTGTTACAATATCCTTTTTTTTTTTTGAAATACAATGAAAACTAAAGCAACATCAAAAAAAGCCCTATACTGGGCACAATCTTGGGAGACTAACTCCCCTCAAGTCATTATGAAGCAATTCCAAACAAGCTGTTGGAGGGACATCCAGGACAATCAGTTGTCCATCCTGATGAGGTGCATGAGTAGCAAGCCAATCATCAACAAAATTGCCTTCTCTATAAGTATGACTAAGCTGAATAATCCAGTCTCTTTGAAGCATGCTACGAGCTCGGATGATTAAAGCAGAAAGAGGATGACTTACGTCACACCATTTTCTTATAAATTCCAAAGCCACCTTGGAGTCACCCTTCACAAAGACTCTCCTAAATCCCTTATGCCAAACCAGATCCATACCTGTCAAGAACCCCCAAATTTCCGCTGAAGTAAAAGTACCACTCCCAAGGAATTTTGTAAAACCAGTTAACCAGTTCCCAGCAGCATCCCTTATGACTCCACCACATGCAGTCCTTTGCCCACTGTCTATGCTGGAACCATCTACATTAAGTTTAACATAACCCTCAGAGGGAAAATTTCAGTGAATAAGACGTTCCTCTCTTCTAAGCTCCTGATGACCAATCTTAATAAGGGTTTCATTAGCCAATTGAATATTACCACAAGTGTAGGTAATGCGCTTAATAAGACCATACTTCGAGGTGCTAGTTTGATCAAAGATCGCCTTATTTCTTTCCCCCCACAAACACCAAGCTATCACCCCAAAATACAAAGGCCAAGTTCAATCAGTTTGAAATGGACCTTTTAATCCTAGATTTGTCTGAATCCATAGGCGAAGATCCATGGAGAAAAATTCACTATGGTTATCAGAAAGAACCCAATGCTCCCATAATTCCCTGGCACCAGGACAATCTCTAATGGCATGTAAACTATCCTCAAGATTATAATGACATCTCAGACACGCTGCATCTGTAGCCATGTGACGATGCACTCTACGAACATTAGTTAAAAGAGAACCTCTGTAGAGAAGCCATAAGAATTGTCTAATACGTTCAGGACCAGGCCAAGTCCAAATTACCTTCCAAAAACTATCCTGATGATAATGCGAGGTACCCATGAGATAGTTATAAGCTGGTTTCACTGGAAAAAACCCCATCTTGGCTACCTGCCCAAATAACACGGTCCGTAGAAGGATCCACTATAGGAGGGAGCACACTACGAATCTTGTCCAATACTGAAGTAGGAGGAAGGTGCTGGAATAAAGGCCAGTCCCAATTACCATAACAAGTTACAAATTGAGACGTAGACCAATGAGTCATAATAGGAGGAATAGGTTGAACGGCCAGAGAAACAAGTTGAGGACATCCTGGCACCCACGAATCCATCCAAAAAGACGTATGAACCCCATCACCTAAAATGATACGAGAATTCTCTAGAGTTTGAGGCCAATACTTAACAATAGCCTTCCATAAACTAGAATCATTTGCTGAAGCCGAGATACTTGGAATGAGCCTCTCCTCCACCTTATACTTGCTACGAAGGACCCAAACCCATAACGAATTACGATCAGTTATGATACGGTGACCTAGCTTCATGATAAAAGCCATATTATTCTCTTTAATTTTACGAAAACCAAGCCCCCCTACATTCTTCGGCAAACAAATCATCTCCCAAGAAACCAGGTGAGCTTTCCTTCGTTCAGAAGTTGATCCCCAAATGAAATTCCTAGTTACACTCTCAATACGATCACACGTACCACTAGGAATAATACAAGTTTGCATAGGATATTGAGGAATTGCAGTAAGAACTGACCTAGCCAAAGTTAATCTTCCCGCCAAGGAAAGAGTACGTTGATTCCAGGCATTTAAACGAGCTTGCATCCGATTTAAGATATAGCCAAACGTACTCTTTGTAACACGGCAATGACGAAGAGGAATACCCAAGTATCTACCCAAGTCATTTGTAGGAGAGTAGCCCATCAACTGGCTTAGATTCTGCACTCGGGTATGATTCACGTTTCTGGAGAAGAATGCTTTTGTTTTTTCCTTGCTAACCTTCTCACCAGAACACCTGAAAAAACAATCAAGAATCTTATTAATAATAACAGCTTGCCCTTCTGTGGCTTCTGTAAAGAGCAGAAGATCATCTGCAAAAAATAGATGGGAAAACAGTGGTCCCCTTCTATTCAATCTGATAGGCTTCCAAACGTCCTCTTGAACTGCTACATTAATCAAGTAAGAAAGTCTTTCCATGCAAATGATGAAAAGATAAGGAGACAAAGGATCTCCCTGACGAAGACATTGATTGAGAGAAAATTATGTCGTAGTTGATCCATTCCATAACAAATTCATTGTACATGACGAGACACAACATATGATCAGAGAAATAATATTCTCAGGCAAACCAACATCCACAAGCGCGTCTTTCAGAAACTCCCAAGAAATCTTGTCGTAAGCCTTTTCTAAATCAACTTTGACAGTCATCCAACCCTTACCCCCTCTCTTTTTATTCATGGAATTGATGATTTCCTGAGCCACAATGATATTATTCGCTCCTTGTCTACCCTTAATAAAACCACATTGATTAGGCATAACCAAGTGAGCATATGAGATTTTAGCCTATTAGCGACAATCTTAGTTACAGTCTTGTAAATAACATTACAAAGGCTAATAGGTCTAAAATCCTTAAGTAATTCAGGCACATCAATCTTAGGAATCAGACAAATCAAAGTTTGGTTAACCTCTTTGATATTATCCGGATGAAGGAACACACCTTTCACAAAAGAGATAACTGACTCACCCACCTTATCCCACTGAGATTGAAACAAAAGAGCATTAAGCCCATCCTTCCCAGGCGACTTGTGTAAGAACCCGCACCGTTAATTAAGGTATTTAATTAATTAATTATGCAAAATTAGGAAATGATTCCATAATTGACCCTAATAATTATTTATGAGGCTTAATAATTATGGTAAGTGATTAAGAGTGCTAAAAGTCGCTTTTCGGAAGAAAAGTGCAGATACCGGTTCTGCTAGTCTGTATAAATGCGTACCGAAAAAGTATCCGGAAAATTTAAGTAAGTGCATGATAATTACTAGAATAATATATAGGACTTGTAAAACGAGTTTCAAGTCGAAATAATGAGAACTGGTGCTAGAAACCGGTACTGGCTTTGAAAAGTGCGTACCGGAAAGGTGCTCAGAAAAATATAATAAAAATATGATAATTCTTAGAAAATTATGTAGTTTCAGAATCCAAAGTTTGGGATTAAAATGCTAAGCGTAGCAATTAAAGTTAATACTGTGTGTTTAAGTGTGTTTGGGCTATAAATACTCCCATTATGGGCACAAAACCCTAGGATCAGAATTCTATACGTGAGTTGGGGCTGATCATTTGCTGGTTACTGTTCCATTGGCTTTTCCTTCCATTTCTTGAGCCAAGTTGTGATCTTTCTTGATTTTCTTCACATTTCCACCTTGTAAACACTTGGGAGCATCCTTGTGGGAGTGAAAGAATGGTATTTTCTGAGTCTTAGCCACTGTTTGAGTCAGTCTTGAGGGTTGAGTAGTGGAAGCCTTGGTCTTACCATTTGTGAACTCCAAGTGTCTATCTTTGTGGATAAATGAGTCATCTTGTTGTGCATTTTCGTGCACCTTCTTAGTCAGAATTGTGAGGAGCTGTGTTGAGCTCCAAGAGCATCTCCATTCTGAGTTTTGAGCCTTGGTATGTTGTACCAACCTTTATCTTAAGTTTTAAGGCTTAAAAATGGTACCTTGATGCATCTAATGACTAAAAGATGATAACTTGTTGTTGGGTAATGTTGAACACGCCTAGAAATGCATGATTAGGTGTTTAAAATCGGTAAAAAGGGAACCTTTAAGGGATATCTTCACGAAAATGCAGAAACTGCATTCTGTCGTGAAATATCCGGATATTTGTCGAACAGATATCCGGATATTGGATATCCGGATATGTGGTTTTGGGATATCCGGATATTGGATATTCGGATATTGGATATCCGGATATTGGTTTTGGGATATCCGGATATTGGATATCCGGATATGGGAATCTGTATATCCGGATATAGTCCCGAGGAATATCCGGATATTCTGGGATTTCGCAGAACAGTAGTTGTGCTGTGTGTACAGTAGGCTATTGGGGGTTTGTGGACCCTAGTTTGATGGAGTTGAACTTCTGTATTTTATGGACTAAGCCAGAATCATGGGATTAAGGGCTTTGGCTTTGTTAGAAGCTTTAAGACTTGAAAACGTAATGAAAAGGCATTGTCTTTAATTTGTATGCATGTGGTACATGTTTATTGATTTATATTTGGTCTATATCAGATTGTGATCTGCTGTGATTGGACTTTGAGCTTGTGGCATTGGATAGCTAGCTTAGAGGTAAGCTTTCGTGTCCTCGGTTTAGCCATGTTGTGGTTCCACCATGTTCCATGGGGATATGGTTATATGCATGCTGTGTTACATGCTTTTGATGTTTTGGAAATGCTGTTGAGCTATTGTATGTTAGTGCCTTGTTGATATGCATCGATGTGTTCCACCTATACGGTAAGCCTGAGTATGTAGAACATACAAGAGGGTGAGGCTGTGGGTGAGGTGCAAGCGGTGTTCCTTGTACTACATGTAGGGAATAGACGTATTCCTACATTCTCTGGCCAGTAGATAGTGATTACACACATGCCATAGATATCTGTTGCACTACATAGTTTTGGAACTGATATTGATATAAATGTTTTTTGAACTTATATTGCACATGTAAGTGAGCTTGGGGTGGAAGATCCTTGAGGACCCCTTGTCTTACTGAGATTTCTAGTTTAGAGATCTCACCCCACATTTGGGGAATGCTTATTTCAGGGTCAGGTAATGTTGAGACCTCAGGCAGCAGGAGGCCGGAGCTGAGTTAGATTGCTGTTATATTATGCTGCCATGATTGGATGCTGGATATGCATGCTGCTTGTAACACCCCGTGTATACCCGGAATATTAACATTACATCGTATTAAGCGGTCATAACGTGTCAAAATCCTTTTCGCAAACGTTTCAACATCTGTTTCCAAAATACTTGCTGGTCATAAAATCATAAGGCAATAATAAAATCATAGTTCACAGTAATAAAAGCTTCTCAATTTCACACAGTCATCCATAAAATATCACATCAATAGCAGCATGCCCAAACAGTAGAAGCCAACAGCAAATATCCAAGTCCTCAAAAGCTTTTACGTCCTCCTGCCATTTTGTAAAAATAGCAGCCCCAAAGGGGTGAGAGAAAATCCCAGTAGTGTGGCAACAAAACCATAATGCAACAATATTAACTAGGCACAAAATCATAAATAGTCACTTCAAACATTTAATCCTTTTCATCATATATCATAACGCGTATATAACGTCCTTTTTCCTTTACGCTCATAGCACCGTCGTGCGCGTAGCATCACAGTGGGTATTCCTAATGGCTCCCATGAAGGTGAATCCCACTGTGGAACCTATGCGGACTGAAGCCAAGTGTCCCCTCTCCTGGTACCAGGCATGCCTATATGATGCATGCTCAGTCACATGTCCTCAATACAAATATATATATATTCAAGATGTCATGAATCAAGTATACATGCCATGTTATGCAATCGCACCCAACAGAAAAATGTATTATGATGTAAAATGCATGCATATATCATATCATCCTTTCATATTCTTACCATTGGCTCATCATCATCATAACATACATAGAACAAATGTGAGCAACACATCACAATTCCATACACTAGCCAATAGTCACATTAGGTAATACCGCCTACACATACCTTGGCACTTTACTTTTAAATCAAGCATTCCAAACATCATCGAACAGTCCCATTATCTAAGAACTTGTGCACCTAAACAAATACATACATCAAATCAGAATTTATCACGTTTATTTTCTACATATTACACAGTTGTCCCATTCTCCCAATCCTAGGTTTATAGTCGGTTTCCTTGCACATACATTAAGCGAACTTTCTGCCATCATATAAATTTACCCAATGTCCTAATTTGACAAATTCCAATGTATTCCACACATGCATGCTCGGTTTTCAATCCTCACTAGGTGCTTATGATTTTTCTTTAACAAGACATTAACTTCATCGCTAACACATGAGCTAATAAATTATTTAACATGTTATCTTCAAGAGTTATAATACCTACAAAGCTTGAATCAAATCCGGTTTCAAGGTTCGTGTACTAATTTAATTATTTTGGCTTAGAGTTTGTTTCATCAATAGATAATGGGTGACATAATCAAGCTCTTCCATGCAAGTAGGTTCGGTTTCTTGTCCCATAATTAGGTGCCACTCATTTATTATTTAAATGACCTGGTTTACAAGGCTTAGGGTGTGCTATAGAAGCCACGAGCATACTGTTTTCAACAATTAGTCACCCAAATAGGACTCACTAAATTTTTCTTTTCTAGTTCAAGAAACAGTCCAACAAAAGTTAAAGAGAGCTATTTCCATGCTCACAAAATATCAATTTAGGCTCACATGCACCAAGTCCTATGGCTGTACAAAATGACCGAATTAAAGGAGGGAAATAGCCAACATAAATTATCCTCCTATCATACAAGGGGGTGGCCGAACATAGAGGGAAAAGAATAGCTCAGAACTCAGATTTAACTCCTTTCAAGTCTTAAACTTCTAGCCGAGTTATCATGCTTTCTATGCTAATTATATTTCTGCCTTTAATTTTATCTTGTCAATTATAGCAATTAACAACTTCCTAAAGTAGATACAGGTTCAGTTTGTGAATATTACCAAAGGCTTATAATTTTTCTTCAACACAAAATGTTTTGCAATCATAAGAGTGTGCTATTAAGACCTCACACATGCTGCTCGGCTTTTTGACCCTTATGCCCCTTAATTAATAATTAATTACCAAATTGCCCCTCATTCAAAACTATTTCGAAAATTTACCCTTCCCAACAAACATAACACCAATCTGCCCCTGTTTGACCGTTGACCACGAAGCCTACCCGGGTACACCATTACCTACCCGGGTAAATTTTGAAACTTTTTATCTACCCGAGTATGTAGGGGTGTACCTGGGTAGAGTTCTTGAATCTGGGAAAATGTTTGAATTATTTACCCGGGTACGTAGCAGTGTACCCGGGTAAATCGCGTCCAGAAACCCCAATATGTATGGGTTTCGGCTATTGTTGCGAGGTATAGGGTTTTTGAAACCCCAAATCTTTCTCTCTTACCCTCTCTAATCCGAAACATCACACATATTTCATCTCATCATTTCAGAAAGCTGAATCTTGGGGGGACATTGAGATTACATCTCCACACTCCCATTTTGTGCTAAAAAATCCGAACCAACCTCCAAACCCAAAACCTAGATCTAATTTTTGTGTGAAAGATGAGTTCAAGTCCAAACATGGTTCCTATAGTTGTTTACTACAATGGGAGGCATTTTGAAGGTCCGAACGGTGTCCGATTTGAAGGAAAAACAAAAACGATGAAAATCAAAGTGGGCACTACATGCAATGAACTGAAGGAGAGAATTCTTCAAAAAATGGGGTCAGAAGGCATACATTCCATCCACCGCATGATAGCCAGGTTAGAGACTGTAGTGGATATGGATACAATATACTACATTGGAAACGATATAAATGATGATGAAGATGTGGAGTTCGTAACAGATGCGTTTGTTGAATGGAAAGTATTAAAATATATTGAGATATATGTTGAAGTTGATGTTGGACAATCTTCATCTTTACCGGTGCATACAACCACTACTGCACACTGTACCGGTCAGGAAGATACAGTTGTACGATCTTCTGCACCTCCTCAGGTAGCATGGGATGAGGATGAAGAGGAGGACTATGTGGACAGCGAAGATGAGGGAGAACCTGAAAGTGCTATTCCAGAAGGTGATTCGTCAGACACTGACGTGGACGGTAATTTTGAGGCTGACATGAGCGCCGTAAGTCTCGGTACCCCAGCCTTGTCACCACTTCATGTCGACCCAGTCAGTAGTGGTAAGTTATTAAATTTGAATATTTGCTTTAGATGCAGGGTCTGAGGAGCCATTCTGGAATGAAAGCCAACATTATTCATTCATTAACTGGGCGCACCCTAATGACGAGTTGGAGATCCTATATGGTGATTATGACTTGCACGGAGGTTGGAAGTTAGGAGATCCGTTATTTGTGCAACAAGAATTTGGGTCCAAACCAGAATTGCAACATGCTGTGAAGATACATTGTATGAAGGGGCGCAGGACAACCATAGTTGAAAAAAGCGACAAGTCAAGATTTGAGCAAAATGACCGGGCTCAGCGTCTGCCCTCCTAGTCTCTGTAACAATGGTCTCCCGGTTATAATCACCAAATATATGATGGCTGTCTCCATCATATAGTGCTGCTCCTGTGACACCATCAAAATCGAACCCCAGTAGCTCCGTCCAGATAGGAGCAGTCATGATGATATCAATCCCGCAGACACGGGAAGTCAGCTCGCCTTGCGAGTAGCCAAGGTTCTGGTAGAAGGCTCTTACCATAACCTCCGAGTATGGGCACCGCATCTCCGCCAGGTGAAGTAAATGTGTCTGCTCAAGAAGCGGCACGATGTCAAAACGCTCTAGGTTGAAGAATGCCGAATCCAGTGATTTCGGTTCGCAGATCTTCCGGGTCATGAAAAACTTCACGAACTTCTCGTGTGAAGGAATGTCATCCTCAAACAAATATCCGAACGTCAAGTCCGGAGCCTGACTCGAAGCAGCCTGGGGCTGAGAGGATGACGACCCATCGTGACGACTCTTGGTTCTTCTCTCGGAATGGGTCACTGGCAGCTTTGAAACGCGTCGAGAGGTCATTGTGTCACACTATTAAACTGAAAAAATAACCAAAATCAGAAATTAGATACATGTTAGGGTTAGGGTTAGGGTTAGGGTTAGGGTTAGGGTTAGATTCAGGGTTAGGGTTAGGGTTAGACAAATTGATAAAATAATTCGGACAGAATCAAATGATATAAACGAAAATACAATGAATCAGAACAGAAATCATAACATAATTGAAAAAACTGAAAAACAAATTCACCTTTGATCGATTTCAATCGGTAGAAGGCAGAGAGGTTGCAAGGTCCGCGAATGATGATCACAAACAAGACGAATTAGTGCAAGATTATGCCTGAAATCGCTCAAGATGACACTCCTCCAGCAGCTCTACTCGGGTACCCCTTTTGTGGGTTTTCGAAATGGGGCTGCTGGGGTATTTTAAAACCCTACCGTCGATGTTTACCCGGGTACACTGCTCCGTACCCGGGTAAATAATTCAAACATTTTCCCAGATTCAAGAACTCTACCCGGGTACACCCCTACATACTCGGGTAGATAAAAAGTTTCAAAATTTACCCGGGTAGGTAATGGTGTACCCGGGTAGGCTTCGTGGTCAACGGTCAAACAGGGGCAGATTGGTGTTATGTTTGTTGGGAAGGGTAAATTTTCGAAATAGTTTTGAATGAGGGGCAATTTGGTAATTAATTATTAATTAAGGGGCATAAGGGTCAAAAAGCCCATGCTGCTCATATACGAGTCAACACCTGCAAAGCCTAATGAGAGTTTTCAATCCAAGGACAGTTCGGCAATATTAAGAGACTATTTTTCTAAATCCCCAAACCAGATTTTTGGTGTGTGTGTGCTCTAGATTCTAAGTGGTCCAAGGGCATAGGCAAGGAAATAGAATGATAAAACAGAATAACATGCATAAAAATGGCGGCTATTCAAGTGAGCAGAAGCAAGGGAATGCAATTGACAAAAAAAAAAAAAGTTTAATCTTCCAAGTCATATATGCAGCGGCTGAACAGGACAAAAGAAGGGAATAAAGCAAAATAAAGACATATCCATCTCTTACACGCAAGGGGCCGAATCAGAGAAAGGAAGGGGAGGCTTGGGACTCGATTTGCTTTCTTGGCTGCATCCAAGGATCATCCATTCGAGTGAAGGGCAGCCACTTCACTCTCCACTGTCCCAAAACGTAGAAACCAGCTGCATGCAGGGGATGAGTGACTCCAACACGGCAGAACTTCTCCTACTTGAAGAGGACAGTGCGCACAAGAGGAGGGAAGGATGTTGGGCTTCAACCTCCTTGCCTAAGGTTACACGGCTGACCAGAATTAAAAGATGAATATGCTTAACGTTTTGCTGTCTCCTCAGGAAGGTCACGCATTGAGAGCGGGACGATGGAGGAAGGGGATGCCCGCATTGAGGCTTACGGTTTGTGGGAATCATGAGAAAAGGTTGCAAGCATTATTTGTGGTGTTTACCTTGAGGGGTTGACGGTTGTGAGGGAGATAATGAGGTGAAGGTATTCTGTATGCAAGGACTGAATTACCTCAGCTTGTTTCTCTCCATGGATTTTCGGCTTGAAGAAAAATAATGAGTTGCATGGGTGATCCCTTTCTGACCACTTGGCACACATGCAATAAGTTTTACTTTAGTTTAATTCTGGACATAATGACCCCAAAGGAGAAATAGATCAGAATTGTTTGTCCTCACTACGTTATTGGATGATGGAGGGATAAGGTGATATAGGTGTCTATCCTTTGGCCAATCAAGAATGAGTGTACAGATTTTGTTTTGGGGATAGGCTAATGTTCATGAGTAGGAAACTATAAGGCTGTCTCATGCTCCAATTAAAAGGCTTGGACCGTGGGCCATGAGGGAAATTGGACCCAAGAATTCACCTAAGCTAATTAATTTTATGAAGCAAACTAAAAGTAACTAGGATTTCAGAAAAAATACTTAAAGATATGCCCATCTTATACTTACTTAGATTTTTAATTCATAACATACATTCACCTTTACCATGGCATATTAAGTAAATTTCTAAAGGTCACCAATCTTATGTAATACATTATTAATTATTATTTGATATTCCTACTAAATAGTAACTCAGGCTTCTTTATCTTTTGCAATTGAACTTACTAATATCACCTTTTTAACTAGTACTTTGAATCTTTTAAAATATTCACATATACTCGCTTATAACAACAACACGATAATTTTTCCCAATTAAACTAATTCCACCCTAAACATAAGTTTAATTCGAATTTCAAGCATGCTACACACCCCTAATTGCAATTTATGTAATTTCCTAATTTTGCGGGATGTTACACTCTCCCCACCAAATTTGAAGTTTGTCCCCAAACTTCGTCCTACCAATTCTGCTAACTACTCAAGACGAATGCCAAACACACGCGTCTTCATGCAAGACGTTACATCACATACAGCTAGACAGCGATCAAGATCATTACTTAACTCAGGATATTACAAATAAATCATACTTCACAAGTTCATTAGAGCATATATAATAAATCACACCCGTACGAAAAAATAAAAATAAAAACTTTCCTAAGCGTCATCACAATCAAATAATTGTCTGGTTCTCTTTAAACAATATCAAATTCACACAGCAACAGAGACAAGGTAAAACGAATATACATAATCTTAATAAACGAAGAACTCCAGTTATTCCTAGATCATACTGAGGCTCAGGGTTTTCTTACAGAATCAGTTAACAACTAGCAAATCCATTTGTACAATATTTCTTCACCATATAAATTTTATACTTGCTGTCTGACAGGAAACAAAGAATGACCACCTAGATCTCTTAATTCATGGTTTCCTTTAAGGCCCAAAAAAAATATATATATAATCTTCTTCCATGTCTGTATACATTTGTGGTTATCCCTTAACATTATTATCTATGTTCTTTGCTTCTTTATGTGGGTCCAAATCAATGACATGATATCCTCTTATTGATACACCCGCTATATTTACTAATACTGAATTTGCATATAATAACCTACAAGATGACCCGAGAGTTTTAGGCATGACTGGTTGAGGGTTACCAATTTATTCTAGCAAGTTACTTCACCATTGGTCACACAAACAAAATTTCACAATCCCGAATTACACAATTTTAAAACAATTAGATGTAACTTATTACTCGTGCAGACAGAATACTAATTAACTAAGACCATCAATCACAGTTATTTTATCTTTACAGTTTGTAGGTTACAAATTATAATTTCATCCACTCCCTAGTTACTCCTTACACCTGATAAAATTCAATTCAATAAATACCTCACAACCGATTACCTATCTTGACAAACATCAAGAGTAGAATTTTACAATTTAATAGTCTACAAGAATTCAAGTAAGTAAAACAGAATGCATCATATTCCAACTTACAATGTAGAAGGGTCTTCATAAAATCACAAGATTTCATCACAGCCAGAGTTCCGGTAAATGTTCTTATTTTCTAAAAGTCTTAGTCCATCACTACTTAGGTATAAAATTTTAACAACATCAACTAAGTTAACAGCACATCATTTGCTACTAGCTTGCGGGAGCGGAATTACGTTAATAAGTATTGTTCTTGTCTCACGCTTAGGGTTTAGGGAACACTTCTAATTAAACTCTAACTATGAAACTGAATTCATGACACGAGTAAGGATACTAAGCAATGATGCAGTCAGCAATTTAATTCTAACCTGCTCTTCGTACATATCACATAAGGTGGTACCTCTCATACAGTTCGTCAAAACACCCATATGAGGAAACTTCCTCGAGCTTTCCGCCGTCCTAGGTACCTCGGATGTAATTGACTCCACTGATCAGAGGATCCAAGAACTATGATATGAACTTCCAGTCATCACCCACGCATTATAATTCCAAACAACTACCAACCATAACTCCTCAAGTAACCCAGACTTTCATAATTCCCATACACAACACCCATATTCAACATCCTAATTGCAGTTAAATATTCTCTTTAGAATCATAGGTAATACTAATAAAATACAATCACTGACAAAGCTGTACTTTTCACATCGAACTCGGTTCTAATATTCTTCCTATGATATACCACACATAAATTTCCAACTTCCAGCATAAAATAAAATTCACCAAACTTCAACTGCCCAAAACAGAAAAATCATCTCAACCAGATTCACAGAAATAAAAGAGTTTCATGTAGTAATTAGACTATAACAAAACACACATATCCAGATCATAAAACACATATAATTCCTTGAGCACAACACCCAAACCGCTTTTAACTAAGCATTACTACTATAGAGTTCACATTCTAGACGGTTAAAACAATTTAAGCTATTCATAAACTCAAATTCTGATATATTTCCAAAACTTCAATCTCAAATACTTCTTTTTAATTTGTATGCCCAACTAACAGATACCCAAAACAAATAATATATTTTCAGAATTTTCAATTCATCAAACCGAAGACTCCTCACTAAATGTCTATCCTGACAGGCAACATCAAAATAGAAGTTTCCACGTATTCAATTTATCCACAGAGATTACTCACTTTTAATACAACTTAAACATCAATTCATTACTACGTCAGTTCATATGGTTCTACAAAATTTAGTTTACTTGCTCCCATTATTCAAGTCATTCTCTAGATTAAATTTCTAGCTAGTTTCAAACATAGGTACCAAAACCAGCAAACTAAACTTTTTCATTAATTGATTCTCGGTGTTTGACAGTTTGATACTACCGTGTTACCGGGGAATGTGTTGGCCAGACCCATTTCCAGTCACAGCTGGAGTATCATCTCATCACACACTGGGAATCATCCAATTCCGTACTTCGTTATTTATTCTTCCTTTAGACATTACTCAATTACAACCTACTATACATTAGACTTCTCTCTCAAGGAGGTTTTCGTGTCTCATAATTGCTAATTCTACTTTCGTAATGTCAAGCAGCGAGTGGATCCTACTCACTACATGGCATACACGACAGTAGTCTCAAGATTGAGGCACGGTTCCCACTTCATGACAGAAGCTCAAGCAATCACTTACCACATTATACAATTCAACAACTCAATTCAACTGAAACACAATTCAATCAGACGACTCTTGTACAATTTAGTAGCAGCAAACACTTCCAATCAAATAATTCAATGCATAACATGAACAGCACAACCGAATAGGGCAGATAATAAAACAGAACCTAATATACGGCAACCTGAACAACATCAATAATATCAACAACAAACCAGTCAATCAATAGAACAGTTTAACCTCAATTTCTCAACAAGACTACACTTATTACTGCACAACTGCCCTCTACTTATCAGGTCAACAACAAGGTAAATCTATACAATACAGTCTACATTTCAGAAAACCAAACAGTATCTCACACAATTCTCGAGACTCAAAGCTGCTACAAGTAAGTTAATCTCATACTGCTGTATATAACAACTCCATAAGGCGATTTCAATTTAGCTCATAATAACTCTAACATTTTATTTATACTAACTTTCATAGTTTAACAGAACAATTCAGCACGTGCCAATCATGAGTCAGACAATACAATGATTTAATCCTAACAGTCAACAACCAATAAATAGTTAAATTAAAACAGCAGTGATTAAACATACTCATACAAACAACAATGATTAAAAAACAGCAACCAATGCAACAATCACACACAAACACCTTGGATCAAAACTGCTCTGATACCAATTAGTGTAACACCCTCCCTTGTATGCATCCAAGAGAGTTGTTTGCTAAGCGGATTAGAGTTCTTTAATCATATTTTAGAGACTGAAAATCACTTTTACAATGCCAATTAAAACTTATAATTGAAATCGGGTTCGTCACAAAAATCAGAGTATACTTTCAAAATTTCTCAACTACTGAAAATATAACTTTCCTGGCAGACCTTGCTGTCTTTAAAAATTCGTATAAAATTCACTTCAATGATTCAAAAAATATTCTTTGTAATCTAGAAACTAGACATTCGGGCTTCACGTTCATATAAAATAATAGTGATTTGGAGTTCGTTTGCCCCTCGAAACATAACTCGCAAAATAAGAGAGAAAGGAGTGGAAATATCACAAATGTCCTGGCTGGTAAAATTCATAATAAATCGATCTTTCAGAATTTCTTTGCAAGGTTTATATATAATGAAACTAGACACCTGGGGCTACGCGTGCATATAAATTATAAGAAAATCGGAGGTCCGTAGCCCCAGTACGACAACTTACAAAGTGCTCGCAAAGAATTTTCAAAACTCAGCATTTAGATAACATGTCAAAATCCTTTTCGCAAACGTTTCAACATCTGTTTCCAAAATACTTGCTGGTCATAAAATCATAAGGCAATAATAAAATCATAGTTCACAGTAATAAAAGCTTCTCAATTTCACACAGTCATCCATAAAATATCACATCAATAGCAGCATGCCCAAACAGTAGAAGCCAACAGCAAATATCCAAGTCCTCAAAAGCTTTTACGTCCTCCTGCCATTTTGTAAAAATAGCAGCCCCAAAGGGGTGAGAGAAAATCCCAGTAGTGTGGCAACAAAACCATAATGCAACAATATTAACTAGGCACAAAATCATAAATAGTCACTTCAAACATTTAATCCTTTTCATCATATATCATAACGCGTATATAACACCCTTTT